GAAGTATACTAATGCAAGATCTAATACCCACAACTTCTATAGTATTCGTTCCGTGTAGACCAAAGGCAAAGCAAAACACCACAATTGATCGTCCAAATTACGAGATATATTTCGGGACCAAATCGGAGTGCGAGATGATTGCTTAGCTGGCTAGGGATCGTGCACGAACGTGACACGACGGAGTACCAAATGGCGTGGATGCTTGACCGGAAGCCTTCAGCTAAACAAGTCGACTTAAACAGTGAGGGTCAGCATCCAATGAGTGCTGTGGTCAATAATTTTGGGGAATTATTTACCGCTACAGGTTCATATGGTTGGTAGGTTTTTAGGAGTTATTTGTTGGTTGTGAATATCTTTTTCAGAGTGTCTGTCGGACTGTTTTGCTGTCTTATTTTAATCCTTATTTTTAGTTAGATCGATCTTTAGGTAACGTAGTATGTTAATAGTGCTCTTTCACAGATATAATTACATTCGAATCGTCCAAAGTACTACATGTGGTAATTAATATTTACTTTCCTTTTTACATTGCTGAATCTTCGCAAATCCGTTTTCAACCATCATGGCAATAATCATATGCATTAGGCCTTTACTTTGAATTGTTTAAGTTTGTATCCTGACTGAAAGGTGTCAGAGTGTTCACTGTTACAAGTGGATTCATTTGGGTAACACAGTTTCTGGTGTCTAAAATTCTCATGTTATACAATATTTCCTTTACATAATCCAAATTCAAAATTCCAAAAAATCTCCTCTTCTCTGGATCCGATTGAAAAGATAGAGATACAGTTAGCGGAAACACTGAAAAGACTGAAACAACAAGGCTTCATCTCACAGAGTCAGTACACGTCACTTAAACCCACCGGAACGTTCACACCAAGACTATATGGCTCGCCTAAAGTGCAGAAAAATGGTGTACCACTACGACCAGTATTAGGTATGCTAAATTCACCATACCATTTTTGCTCGATTATTTTGTGATTTATAGATGTCTGAATGAATATTTTTGCAATATTGTAATCCAAATTCATTCTGTGTGTTTTTCTCTCCTTTTATTCTTTGCTTTGAAAACATCTAACTCCAAAAAATACACTTTATAAATATTCTAAGTCCCTTATTCTTACGTACAAAATTCCTTTGTCCATTCGCCTGTAATTACAGCCTTATTAACAACAATCTCCTTCTATTGCTGTGTGAACTTATAAGCTAACACTGTTTGTTAGATTTTCCGGTCTCCCCGCCCCTTCTTTCCTACATTTGAAAGCAAATAAATTTGATGGTAACTTAGACTAAAAATTATAATACTTTTATTTCGGATGCGTTAGTATTCAATAACATTTTCTCTATTACTATTCAGACACTGAAGTATGCTGTTTTCATTCTTTCTTAAAAACCATTTTAATTTCAGTTGATAAGAACCTGTGAAATAAAAGAATGATATCATTTTATATTGAACATGTGGTCTCTCCTGCTTTATGAAAACTTATCAAGGGAACCAAATTTATGAAATTATTATTCTGCCTAACACCTAGACTTCACTTTTCAATTCATCGATTGGTATTCACAATTAACTTTTGTAGGCATTTCCATGACCGATTACTGAACAAATAATATTCTTTTCAATGACTTTTTCATCAGGCTCTATAGTTATAAGCATCCATAATAATGAAAGAATTAGGGTTATTAACAACATTAATGTTTAAATAACATTGAATCAATAATATCAGTAGATTAAATTTCAGTAGCATCTGTAAACGTGTTAACATGCATCAACAATACAATGAAGTAGTAGAAGACGAAGACTTGGTATCGCTATATAGCCAAATTATGTACACCTTATCTTCAAAGCACAATTAACAAAGAGAGTAGTATTGTGGTACTTCTGGACTTCATGTTATGTTTCTATGTGTTCATTTCACGTCGTCACAACGCTGTATCATTTGCTTTCTCTGAAATAAAATCTATCTCCCTGCTATTTGATGTTTTTATGCCTATGAACGTCTCTCACATATATACTACTGATAAATCTTGTCAGTAGCACTCTCCACAATAACTCTACACTGAATATCAGACAAATTGGGAAAAATAATAATATAAAATTCTCAAAAGAATGTATACTAAACAAAGAATACTCTTTTCGAGAACTTCATCATCAGGCTCTACAAATATATGTACATCATAGTGAATGAATGAATTAGTATTATGAACAACATTAATGTTTAAATAACATCGAATCAATAATGTTGATAGCTTACAGCTTAATAGCATAAACATAAAATAAGTTGAATGTCAGAAATATTAGGGAAGGTAATGGTACAAATTCGCGAATTCATAGTCTCTCCTGAAGTCCATGTCAGTAGCAGGGTTGGACTTGCTTCTTTTGAACACAGAGCACTGGTTGTTTGAGGCGAATTGCTCTTTGGAGCATGTGGTGCTTGGATGATTTTGGCAATTTATTATGTACCTGGTAGATTACAGAGAAGGATTCTTCCACGCTGGCTTTGTGACCGGTTTGCACCAGATGGTCCAATACCGAACTGTTAATGGTTTTAACTACACCTTTACTTTGTCATAGTGAGTGATGTTCTCGAGCACGAAAAAGCAAGTTCCTAGACCAACGGCCAATATAACTCTCTCCACAAGCGCAGTTGAATTGGGATATACAATTTGAAGTGGCTAGTCTAGGTACTTCACCTTTCAGTCGAGGTAGCACCATCGGTCGTGTAGGTAATAGTACGTGTAGTTTGCCAGTATTAAAAGTTCTTTGAACTGATTTTCTTAAATTCCTCGTAATTATCTCACTTGGTATATCGCCCTTGAATTGAAGTCGTACATAAAGAGGCTTCTTGTTTACAGACAGTGAGTAGTCCTTTACAGCTTTCTCTGTCATGTGTTTATTGATAAATTTGTCGGGATAGCCATTTTCGATCAAAGTATCATTTACAATGCTCAATTCATCTTTAATTATTTCTTTTGAGCATATAGCTCTAACTCTGTGGCTGAGGGTCCACTAAATTTCTTTTGTACTTGAGACAAACGAAGCTGTGAAAATGTATTTATTGTCCCGTCCAAGTACTTTTCCTATGCAAATTTCTTTTTATGCTACCATCTGGTTTTCTTGTAAGGAGGACATCCAGGATGGCAATTCTTTTTTCACCAATTTATAGGCCCTACAGAAGTCTAGGGCAGCAGTATTAGTTGGACCTGTTTCTTCTGCACACAGAGCAACGGTTGTTTTAAGCAGATCTCAATAGCTATCCAGAAACGTTCATCAGGAAACACATGACCAAAAAAGTAGAAAAGGACTATTCTCTCTCTGTAAATAAGAAGCCTTTATATATACAGCTGCAGTTCAAGGGTGACGAAACAAGTGAAATAATTGATAACAAGTTAAGAAAATCTGTTCAAAGAACTTTTACTGCTGGCAAACTACAAGTCTTATTTTTTACACTACCGGTGGTAATTCCTAATTGAAAGATGATGTACCTAGATCAACCATTTCTAATTGTATCTACGAATTCAAGAACGTTTGTGGTGGAGCGAGTTATATTTGTCGTTGCTCTAGGAACTTGATTTTTCGTGCTCAGGAATATCTACCAGTGTGGTTAAATAAAGTTGTAGTTAGAAGCATCGATATTTCTATATTAGAACATCTGGTCAAAACCAGCCACAAAGCTAGCATTGAAGAACCCTTCTCCATCATCTATCGGGCACCAATTAAACTGCCGAAAGCGTCCAGGTACTGCATACTCCAAACAGCAGGGGCCATCGCGATTCGCCTTAAGCAACCGTCGCTCTGTGTGTACAAGAAATAGGTGCAACCACTACTACTTCCCTGGCCTTCTGTTGTGCCTATAAATTGATGAATTTTGTATTATTATAATTTTCCCTAATTTGTCTGATATTCAGTATAGTGTTATGTTGTTGATGCATGTTATTACTCTTACAGATGCTATTGAACTGTAATCTACTCATATTGATTGATTCGATGTTATTTAAACATTAATGTTGTTAATAATCCTAATTCTTTCATTATTATGGATATATAACTGTAGAACGTGATAAAGAAATTGTCGAAAATATAAATCTTTGCTCAGTAATCAGTCTTTGGAAATTTCTAATGGACATTTTCTATCGATTTAGGTGACCATTTAGAAAAGCGTATAACTGCAGAGAATTGATTTGAAACTACTCGAAGAACATTCTTTGTGCTGAGCTATGTTCTCTTCGAGTTTGAACTGATGTTAATTAGACAACCATTGAAAATCAGCAGGGAATACTGGACATATGTTTCGTCCTTGTCTCTGACTCTTCAGTGACACTAACTCCCAGCAGGGATTACGGTAAGTGGTATTTTGGTTTTTAAATTGTACTTAATGCATTAATTTAATGGATTCTGTTTAGGATTTAGTTTTCCTTATATATCTACTTTGCTAGTTGTTCTGAATGAAAGCATCACATATTAGAAAAAACTAAATATCTAATATTCACTTTTACCAATAGACATATGCATTTCAAGATAAACTCAAATCATTCTATTCAATCGTAAACAGGATATACACATCAATAAATAATCATACAAGAATGAAAGTATAATATAATTAAGAAATCCTCCTGTTTGCCATATATTTTTTAAAAAATTTTTAGTATAATGATGACCATTACTCGTTGTTATAGCAACAGATTGCATTTATCCATCTCCCTTTTCAACCAATCAAATCGTAGATAACTAAGGTGTTGCAAAGTAAGTAAATAAATATATACATATATTGAGTAAACTGTATTTCTCAACTCATAAACTCTGAAAACATTTTGAAAAAAAAGCATTTTAAGGGACAGTTAAACAGAACCCATATTCACATTTTAAATAAATAAATAAAACAAACGAAAATATGGAAAATAAACTTCAAAAATCAAGAAATATTATATCATGCTTTCAATTAGTATCCTCCATTTTCTCAATGACAATCATTGTTACTCTGGTTATTTGTGAATTATACACATATATGCAAAGAATAGTACCAGTTACATTTTATGCCGGTTATTGGACAAGTCCATTCATTCTATTGACTGCAATAACTTTTACTCTAGCTAAAAGTAAAGTTGATGGAAAATTTTATAAGTTAGCCATCTTTTCTAGTATATTTACACTGATTGTATGCATTCTAGGCATACTTTTTTCATTAATTTCAATTTATTGGATTTTAGACATTACAAATGGATACGCATATTATGAATATCGTGAAGAGATGATTGTACAATGTTCACTTATCACTCTAGCTGGTATATTAGCTTTAATTAATCTTTTTATCATTACATGTTGTTCTTGTTGTGGTTGTTTTCCTGATACTTCAACAACAATTTCTACACTGAATAATTCCAGTGGTGAAAATGCGCCTCATTTAAAAAGCTCTGAAGTCAATAATCAGCGGCCTTTACAAATTCAAAATAATAACAATAATAATAATGTTAATCAATATCCAGAGTTAAATAATCCTCCAGCGGGAAATCCAAGAATTAATCAAAAACAAGATTTAAATTATATCCAACCACTTGGTTATCCTCCGCCATACACATAATCAATACCCAGTTGGAGATTAGAAATGTAGAAATAACAAAATATACAGGATGTTTGGATAAAAAACAAATGTGATGAATAATTTCTTTTATCCAAACATCCTGTATATTTTGTTATTTCTACATTTCTAACCGCCAATTGCACAATGTCAATCTTCTTAGTTATTATGCTACTTTGAGTTTTACCAATACCCAGTTATTATAAAAATATCATTTTTATCGTATGTATCTGGCTTCTCACTCTGTAGTACTGTTAGATATGCAAGTTACACATCGGTTACATTGCTGAATTCAATAGTTCAATTAAACAAATACCAGTTTTAAACCAAATATACAATCTTTATTTACTCAAGGTCATTTTTGTTCCCTGTTCTCTAATTTCTACATACATTTAATTTTTTCGGGCGAGTATATATATATATATATATATATGTCGTTAAAACGAATTTACCTCTCCTTTCCACCTCCTTGACACAACAGAACGAAAGAGACCAATTACAGTTTAACTTTCCTCATTTACTTTACTTCCATGCAATTTTGTATTACGTTTGATTGTTTTAATTGGCGTTTTATCGATTTTTTGCTACATATCTGGAATATCTCTTGTGACATTCTTTATACTATGTGTGAAAACACCTTACGATTACCTTTTATCCTCACGCAGTTTTTCGCATGGATTATGTTTTAACTGAGTTCCTTCTCGGGTAAAGTTGTGTTTGAAATATTTCTTAATAACCAAAAAGCGCCCGTTTAATAAAGAAAATAAAACTGTAGAAAACAAAACGATTGCTTGTCTTTTCATTATTCTTTAAAAATAAAACAGGAAAAAGTTGTTCGAGAATGTTTTTATTATGTAGCGCTTTCAAGCGCTATACATTTTTAATGTTAAAAAAAATATTTTCCATTGTTAGTTTAAAGGGATTTCATTGGTTTTGGGTTTGATCACGTCCCAGTGGCTGATTGGTCGACAAGCACGCCTCGTAACCTGAAAAACCTGGGGTTGATACCCGATGGAGGGGTCACTACTTGCGTATTGGTGTAGAGTCACAAACTAGGATGAAATAGCTGTCTAGTACTTTCCTGGTGTTAATAAATATGTTGGACATATGGCAAATAGATCAATGTTTATGCGTTACAAAATTTCTCATATCGTAAAATGTTAACTACGTTGTATGAGGACATTTTTATTTCACTTATTATAGTCTCTTGAATTTCGTCTTGTGTATTTGTGAAAATCAAATAATTTGATATTGTTTAAAAGGTAAAACGTTGAAATTTTATTATTTCATTGTCATAATTAACTGTGAGTATTTACATTATTGTCAGTTAATTGGGCAATCTGATATTTTGGTAGCCTTAAGCCTCGGTGGTTCATCGGTGAAGTATTCGTTAATCACGCCTTACATAGTCCAGGGTTGGATCCACTGCTGACGCACTTTCAAATCTTGCTCAGCCGGCATTATAAATCCTGATATAAAGAGAAGGTTGGATGTGAAGCTGGCAACCTCATTCCGTAAAAAGCACCACTGCTACTTAATTTTCAAACCCCAAGCTTCCATTGGAAACGTAAAGGAATAAAATGAAATAGGAATAAAATTTGAGCAAGTCATCAGACGATGGAAAGATGTTCTGTGAAAATAATATTTCAATATTACCACAGTAATTTTGATTGGACACTAGTAATTACTGTGACGTGTCTAGTCCTTTCTTTGGCGCAGACTGAATTCTATCAGTCAAGTTTGCAATGTGGCAACCATACTAGGTAGCTCACCGCCACACTGCACAGTGATCTGATGATATGAGATAGTTGGGGGCAATCGGTAGGAAGCCTTGGACCTAGGTTTCGTGCTAGTAAGCTGAAAGGGGAATATATATATATATATATAAACTTCATTCCTTGACATTATTTTTGATATAATGTGGAATTTCCAGTATTTAATTTTCAATATATATACTTTTATCTGTATATCTGCATGCTTTCAAATGTTTTTAGAGTTCACAAGTTAGGTTTAATGTGATGACAAGTTGTTTGTGAGCGCACAGAAGTGGCCTGAACTTACCTGTCGTTCAGGTTTCTCAAATACTTTATATGAAAC